GAGAAAACCAGGAGTAACTTGGTCGTCAAATATATGGAACATTGCCTGCAAAATTCGTGTAATGTAACATTCAGTGCCCTTTTTATTAGTTCTACTTTGGTCAAATATATGGAACAGCCTGCAAAATTCGTGTACTGTAACATTCAGTGCCCTTTTTATTAGTTCTACTTTCATTTGCATTTTCCTCTTTGTCTTATTGCTTTGGGGAAATAAAAGGCAGATGGAGAAGATGGAAAAGAAGATTCAAAATACAAAGTGGAAAGCAAGTTCTAAGGGTCCACGCTGGATAGTGTCGGTTGTACGGCAACACAACTAGGACAAACTATTAATTGAAAATGTGCTACTCTCAAAAGGGGAAAAAGAGAGTTGATTTAATATTACGGGTCCACGCTGGATAATGTCGGTTGTCAACTAGGACAAACTATTAATTGAAAACGTGCTATTCTCAAAAGGGGAAAAAGAGAGTTGATTTAATATTAGCAAAATTCTTCATTGACAAAATAAATATAGAGTATTGAAAATGTAAAAGCACATGTAACCGTGCGATGCTTGTTTTCCTCACTTCTCCTCACGTTGCTCAGAGCATGTTTTCAAATGTATGTAAAACATAAATGCAATCAGTACTGCGTTTAAAAATATTGCAGTGATATTTCCGCAAATATAAATACTGTGTATTCGACGAATGACGCAACTAATATTCATCAGGAAAAAAAAAATGCATCAGCGTGGAGCCCGAGAGTGCTGCATCATGGAAAAGAGAGAGAGAGAGAGAGAGAGAGAGAGAGAGAGAGAGAGAGAGAGAGAGAGCAAGCGAAAGCAACGTGCAGTCAGAGGTGAGAAATCGGTTATTTCCTGTAAAATGAGAATTTAGAGTTAAAAGTGAACCTGCTGAAGAGCAATAAGGTGACAAGAAAAATGCTGCGTGTGCTTCTTGCGTTTCCTTCGGACTACAAGAGGGTCAAGTGAATGGAGTGAAAACACAATAGTGTACATACACAAAGACACCCTCCCACACCCCCACACAAACACACACTCACACAGCAATGCAGGCGCCTTTGAGACAGCAGTAGGAGGCAGGTGTCAAATTGGAGCCTTTGTCAAGTCAAACGGCCACCCCAGAGAATACTTTTCACCGAGAGCAGATAGCGACCGTTCACCAGCGAGCCTTATCGGCCTCCAGGTGCCGCTGGATGACAGCCACGTCGCCCGGGACGCTTCTACTCAGGCTACGAGATGACAGGAGGCCATTCTGCGCTTTGACGGACTCGAGGCTAACGTGGCGGCGGATTTGTGAGTTGCGAATCGGACGCCGCCTAATCAGCAGTCCCGTAGGTCTACCGATAAAAGGCGTGTTTGGACAAGGAGCCATGGATCAGCTCGGTTTGGAACGATGAAGCCTCCGTGTGGTCATCAATAGAAGACATCGGGGTTGTTTCTTGCGGGGTGGCACACATTCACAGTTCTTATTGTCAGACAAACTGTGTTAAACCTACCCCCCAAGCCCCAAGGACCACCCCCCCCCCCCCACGGTGATCAGATTATCAGTTAAAAATAAATACTAATTTTACTCCCAACATTTTCGAAGAACTTTGCCCATTCACTCGCATGATACGCTCGGCAAAGTTTTTAAACCAGATGCCCTTCCTGACGCAACACTCCATTTTTTTTTCAATCTTACTCACTGAGCCATTTAGCTGCCACTCAGATTTTCCAAGAATGTGATTTTTCTTCAACTGCAGAACTGTCCAAATGGCCACCGGCTTCAGCTCTTCAACCTGCCCAAATTCAGCCATCAACCCAACGTGCGGGTTGATGGCTGAAAAGAATTAACCGAAGCTTGGCTAAAGTTACGCAATCTGCACAGAATCTAGAGCTACCCAGCGAGTGCGTTAGGAAAACAACTCAGCATTTTTTTTTTGTATTGTGTGTGTGTGTGTGTGTGTGTGTGTGTGTGTGTGAAACATTTGCAGCTTGGAAGTACATTCCTCACGTCAAAGGTTTAAATGTTGATAAAACAACTAATTGGGCACCATGTCACACCAATGTTAAGTGCGATTTGCCTTCCACCAAGCTGTGAAAAACAATTCCGCTCACGTCGACTCTTTCTTTGCGAAAGATTAAACTCACGGGCCACAACTTTGAAAAATATTCACGAGAGTGGTCTGAAAAGTCCCTCGGTTGGCAAGACGCTGAGCGTGCTTTTGTAAATGAGCTCTGTTCACAGCCACGTTAGCGTAAGCAGTGCACATCAGCTAGCAACCATGAACAAATATTGAAATTGAATTAAAATAAATTTGCTCGCATTCGTTTTTATTCAAAAGGCCATGAATATTTAGGTTGAAACTGTCAACAAAATAAATCATTCCCATTTATGGGCCAATGTTATTAACTGATGTTAGGACAATGCGGAAATAATGTGCGGGGACCCGAAAAGTTTGATCACCTCAATTTTGATCAACGTCTCTCCACCTGCCCTTCACTCTCTCGCCACGCCAGTCACATGACCATGTCTGTGTGCCGAGGGTCATCACTAATGATGCTCGCGGAGCCGCCGTCTCCATAGCGACGGCTGTGTCTTGCTCTCACAATGGCGCACCTCTTCACTCCATTGCCATTCACTTTTACAAATCACAGGTGGCGACCACAGCGCTATTTGCGTGAGTGATCTTCCCCCCCCACACCCCCCTCACCACGCAAACCCCACCACTCCGCCGCCCTCCCCGGCCCTTTATTTCCTCGTGAAGCAAACAAGAGCAGATGCGTAGAATTGGGTGGGTTGGATGGCATAGAGGCTCTTTCGGTCACGACAGGCGCGAGAACGGAAACGCCGTGATGACGAGGGAAAAGTGCCCTGCGCGACTGTCAAGCGCATGGAGGTGAAAAGAAGCGATGGGGAGAAGTGGAAGTGCTCTTAAAATACACGGCAGGTACTGTCGGCTGACAAACAAATGCATTTGAAGTCACTCCGCCACTGCCATACGACACGACATCCCAATCCCTAACGGCCGGGATTAATTGGACATTTGCGTGCAAGACACGTCTGGAATGTTAAATCACACGGAGGTGGGCAAACAGAGGAAAAAAAAAACACGCCGTTTTTCCTCTTTGTGTTAGTGGGAGGAAGAGGAGTAAACAACAACCAGTCGAGTGAGGAGGAAGGAAGAAGGAGGAAGGGGGAAGGCAGGGTTGGTGTCATGCGATGCTTCTGCATGAAGAGATAAAATGGCTGCTGGTGCTGGGAAAGAAATGTGGGACACATTCACGGACTTCACGGACGGCACAAAGGGTTCCACTGAGAACTGGATGGTCTAACAGCCCATTTCCCCCCCTCCCTAATGTTTGGATCCACGCACAGGGTCCAGACAGGATTGATGGGGAAAGAAAAATCGAACAGAAAAAAAAAGAAGGTGCACGACCTCAATAAAACGCCTTCAACATTGGAAATGCACTTATTGAAACAACTAAAAGTAAAAGAGCAACAACAACAAAAAAAGTATCCTTAAATACAAAGTCTTTACAGCTTTCCCCCATCCCATTTGTTTTAGGCTCCACTTTAACTATGACACGGATGAGGATGAGTGGTCCAGTAAACAGAAGGATGAATGCAGATGTAAACGGGGTCAGTGAAGACCTGTCCATATGTCGACTAGGGATTCTAATCGTTTCAGATTGTTCGTTATTTTTATTTTTCCATTTCGGCTTTTGTTTTTGTTTTTTTTGTTGTTTTTTTAATGACTTTTTTTTACAATAAATTTGTTGATTTTGATTATTGTTTATTTTTTTGAAAATACTTCAATTTAGTTTTTATTAGTTTTAGTATTAGTTTTTTTTATATACCATACAAAGGAGTATTTATCCGTGCATGATCTCCAGTGATCTTCACACGGGGTTGAATCATTTAGTCAACTTTTCCTACTCCATATTGTTAAGTTTCTTCCATTTCTTTCAAAACTCCTCTCGTGAAATGATTAAAAAAAAAAAACAACCCACAAGTATTACATGAGACCATTTCCATTTCAATCAGTACATTTCCAAAGTTTGAGCCGACATTTTTGACCCCGTCGGACAACCGCTGATGGGAACTCTTCGCCACGAACCTTCAAGAGTGAGGCTCAGCGCCTATTTCTTTGGAGACGCTCGTGATTGAGGCTGATTGGGGCTCTTTAGGAGGCCCCCGGCTGCATTACAAGGAGCTCCGAGTACTCCTCGCGCGACCATATACCGCTTTTTACCCTCCTCTCCGGACCCCGTGCATGAAGCTCGAGAAAGGGTCGGGCGGGCTTGCAGGTTTCACTTTGAATGCACCGTAAAAGACCAAAGCAAAGAGGTGGCGGTGACACACTGTTGAAAGAAGAAACGGAGGAGGAAGAGGAGGAGGGTTCAAATTGACGCCGCCTTGATGACGGACGATCTGAGAGATAAACCAAGGGAGGGAAGATGAGAGGAAAAAGAAACGGATGCAGGACGAGAGGAAATAAGAATCAGGCGAGCACAACAATGAACCTGAATCTTTGTGAGGGCTAGCTTAGCCGGTTAGCGCTCCGCTTGGACAACACAAACGAGAGAAATGCCTTTTCGATCCTTGAGTGAAACACACACACACACACACACACACACACACACACACACACACACACACACACACTTGGTTGGCAAGTGGGAGGATGAGATGACAGAGTGTGAGTGCTTATTAGAGGAAAGAAATGAAGCCATGTCCGGTTTATCTCTCATTGATTGTTTTGAAAGAGAGGGGGGGCGGGCAGTGAGTGTGTGCAATTTTCAGTCTGCAGCCGTCACGTGGACATCTAGAGGGATTTTAGACTTTTTGGTTATAAACGCCGAAAAGAGAGAGAAAGAAGACGACGACGACGGGGG